TGGCGGGCTCTGGCTTGTCGGGCTCCTGTCATGTCGTTGCCGATCTTTTGGCGGGTCTTGTCCTGACGTCGACGGTGTCGCGCCCCTTAGATGCGACGTTGAAACACCTCCGAGCAGCGGCTAGGTCGCCCTGGATGGTAGCTACCCGTGCCCTTTTGGTGTAGAACTTCATCTTCAGGTGGACGGTGGAGGGCACCGCTGTCAGTTCTGCCAGTGTCGGTCTCCCCAGGATGCAGTTATAGAGGGACGGACAGTTGATGACGAGGAAGCGTACTTTAACCTGCCTTGTCGTTATGCCTTCGCCGAAGGTAACCATAAGCTCTACGTATCCCCAAGGCTTGGAGGTCGAGCCGTTGAATCCTTGTAAGTTCGACCCTACATACGGCGAGAGATGTGAGTCGTCCAGCTGCAGAGTTCAGAACAATTGGCTGTACATTACGTTGACGAAACTTCCTTCGTCGACGAGGATGCGATGCACATCGAAGTTGGTCATTCTTGCCCTTATCAGCAAGGGGATGACTGCGTTGGGGGCTCCCCCGGGGAGTTCTTCCAGGTAGAAGGTGATGGGCTCCGACCTACCTTTTACCCTCTCAAGTGTCACTATTTACGGAGGTGCCGCGTCAACCAGTTCATCCAGCTTCCTTTTAGCCGAATTGATAGTCGGGTCGTTGAATCCTCCGCCATTGATGACCATGGCGGAGGGGAAATATTCCCACCTGCTGTGTGTTGTGAGCGGCTTCTGCAGGTGTTCGGGGACGTTGAAGTCCTCGGGTCTGGTGACGGAGAAGGCGGTCTGGATGGGGACCGATTCGTCAGATGGTCGGGCGTCTTCCTCCGGTTCTCTTGTTTCCCAGGCATCACGACAAGGAGCGTCGTTTTGCCGGTATTGTGCGATCCTTCCTCCCTTGATGAGGGTTTCGATAGCGTCCTTGAGGTGGACGTAATCTTCAGTCAGATGACCATGGCTCCTATGGTACTGACAATATTTGTTCTTGTCTACTCCGGGCTTGGCGGGAGCAGGTCGGGGGCGTTTGACGCCGCCGTCTTTGAAGTCCGTGCTGGCACACTCCGCCAAAATGCGCTCGCGGGAAGCTGTGAGCAGAGTGTACTCGGTAAAACGCCCCGAGGGTCCTCTTTGCTCTCGGACTTCTCGGGATCTGTCTTCTTTTCTTTTCTCCCCGGTTCGTTGAGGAGGAGGAGCTTCCTGGCGCGGGTTGCTGCTGGACCCGCGAGTCCTGGGGTCTCGGGCTCTATTGGCCGCCTCCCTCTCGTCGTAATCCATGTACGCATGGGCCTTCTCGAGGAGGGAATCGAATGTTCTAGGTGGCTCGATGCCCACGACCTTTCTGAATTCTGTACCGGGGAGGAGCCCCTTCTCCAGCAAATATCTTTTCATGTGGTCCGCGCAGGGGACCTGTATGGCTTCGCGGCTGAAGCGATTGATGAAATCTCTCAAGGTTTCATCCTGTCTCTGGATGATGGCCTCGAGAGCCGCCTCGGTCTTTGGGTGTCTCCGAGACGCTATGAACGAACTGATGAATTGGTTCTTTAGGTTTCGCCACGAGGTGATTGATCCCGGAGCGAGGCCTTTGTACCAGTCCATTGCTGCCTTTCTAAAGGTCGTGGGGAACAACCGGCATTTGATGGGTCCCTCGACGTTGTGGTAGTGCAGCATAGCCTCGAACCCGTCTATGTGGTCGACTGGGTCTGCGACTCCATCGTATTGCTTCAGATGTGGAGGCTTCTCCATGCCCGGGGGAATGGGCGCCTCCATGATGGCCTATGACAGAGGACCGCGGGGGTCATCCTCGTCACTTCGCTCCGGGGACATGGATGGGGACCTGTAATACTGTCGAGCCCGACGGTCTGGGTCATGCTGGGCATCTCTCGAGCGTGGTGCTCGTTGGCTGGTTCTTCCATGCCCGTCTCTAGAGTGTCTTCTTTCTTGTCGTGTGGGGGCGTGGTCGCGTCCCCCGACTTCAATGATGGGTTGCCTCTCCAAAGGGGGCCGTCTCCCCGAGGATCGGGGTGACGGGCTTCGGGAGGTATCTCTGTAGTGTCTCCGCGGGGGAGACGGGAGATGTACCTCCGTTACTCGAGGAGGTGGAGTCTGGGGCCTCCGGTGCCTCCTCGGGGGTCTTCGATCGTCTTCTAATGCCCTCAATCTTTCCCCTTGGGCGAAGATGAGGTAATTCGTCTGATTGATCGCCGCGAACAGCGTGCGGGTTGTGGCATCTGCTCCGACGGGGACAGGAACTTCCTAAAACTGAGCAGCTCGATAGTTTGTGGGAGTTGCATTGTCTTCTTCGAGCGGCGGAGGGACCGAGGAGGACGACGCAATAACTCCGTCGCGGTGGATTGAGGGCCCAGGGGCAGTCGACACAGGGATGGTGTTATGACCGGGGTTACCAGCGTTATCGGGGTGTCCGTTTTTGTCTGCGAGGCCGTTGTTGGTGTCGATGACGCGGATGTTTTGTTCATCACGAACTTGGTCAGCCATGACGGTGATCGTTGAGTTGAGCTTTGGTCTTCGAGTTTTTGCAAGACGGGGAAGCTAGGTTCCCACAGACGGCGTCACTGATCTTACCGGATCAGACTTGGACCGTCACGACTGGCTCCGAGCTGAAGTTGAACGAGATGGGGGGGGGGGGGGGGGGTACCTGCAAGGCACTCCGATGCTAAAGTGAGTGGTAGTACGAGCAGGCAAAAAGTGTGTATATAGGTAAGAGAATGAATACCTGACCCTCTAGGAATATAGGGTATTTATAGCCCCCAGCATGGGGCCAAGGTCCCTTTATTGGGCCGACTAGGACTGACCCAATAAAAGAACTGCCAGGTTCTACGTGTGTAGTGGGGACCCACATGTGGTCCTCTCCTGGTGATGCTCAGCGAGAAGTACGGACGGACGAGAACGCAATCTTTCCGGAGTTCAGGTGATGGAGTAACAGTCATAGTCTGCCCTACGAGGAGGGTGCTCGAGCTGGACTCGAGCTGGATTATATGTGGTCGAGGACGTTGTGTTCGCGGGCAGCGGCGGGCACGGCTGTAGCTTCTGGTCGACGCGCTCCTTGTAGAGCTGTTTGGATTGGGCCTTCATTCTTGCTCTTGGGCCAACCCGGGTCCAGTCCAGAACAATATTAATGAAGTCACGTATAAGCATAGATAATAAATGTTCATCAAGACAATCTATCTAATTCAATTATCACATAAGTTGATAGAAATTAACTTGAGTAGTCACTTTCTTCTAGCTGCTTCAAACTTCTTGGCTTGTAAGTTATAGGATTTAAACTTTACTTTTCTCGAGATTTCTATAAAATCTAATACGGGGAAGATTAAGTTTTGGGCTCCGAGTTTAGATAACTTTAAATCAAAGTTGGCTATGTGGAGAGGAGATTTATATCTTTTGAAAGTAGGATTACTCTTATTAACTCGGTTCTAAATAGCCTTCCAAATTTTATGTTTTCTTTCTATAAAGCACTCGTGAAATTGTGGAGATAAAAAAATTCAATGGAGATTTCTTTGGGGTGGCTCAGATGAGAAATCGAAGATTCATTGGATTAGTTGGGGTGTAGTGTGTAAACCTAAAAAATTAGGAGGTCTTGATATCAAGAGCATTGAAGATTTTAATCTGGTTCTTCTTACTAATTGGAGGTGGAGAATCTTGGTTGAAAAGGAGGTTGTTTTGGTAAATGTGCTCAAGGCTAGATATGGGGATTGCGAACATCAAATCCTTTCAGATCACTGCCCCAACAACATCTCGTCAACTTCAACTTGGTGGAAGGATTTGCAAAGATATGAGTTATTTCTATTAATATGGGTTTTGTTTTTACAGGTTATGTTAATTATAAGTTTGGAGAGGGATCTCATATTCATTTTCGGGCTGTTGGCAAAACGACATTTGGATATGGGGCGATTATGGTATACACCTACAACTTCAACCTTATGTTCATCAAAGGTTTCTTCAACTAATGGATTTTTTATCTTCTGTATCTCTTGTGTTTGGGGCAGTGGATAAAGTATTGTGGAACAATGAAGATTTTTCTGCATATTCTGCAAAAGAAGGTTATGCCAACATCATGGAGACTAGGGTTCAAGCTTTTGTGGAGGAGGAATAATGTCAAACTTTCTGATCCCTTTGGAAGATGTTGATTCCGGCTAGGATTAAAGCTCTTGGTTGAAGGGCTTTCTTGAACAAGTTAGTAATGAAAGATCAATTGAAAAATAGGTTTATGTATTTCGATTTATGAAGGAGTTTGTGTCATTTATTTTCATTCGAATGAAGATATAATTCATCTTTTGTTTGAATGTATTGTTTCTTAGAAAATGTGAGAGATTGTAAAAAATTGGATTGACGTTTCCGAATCTTGTGCAAGTCCTCCATGAAAATGATTTTTACACGGTACAATTTTTTTATTAGAAAGTCTAAAAAAGGTAAAATTGAAATTATGGCGTTTGTGAAAAACTAGAAATGACATTCTTTTCAATAGTATCATTTGCAACCTAAATAATATTATTTATCTATAAAAATTTTAGTTTGGTGATGGTCTTTAATAGAAGAAATTTCTTATTTCAATTTCAATTTTTGAATTTTAGCATGGATCACATTAGTTGCTTATCATGATGTTTTTGGTTTGAAAATTTTCCTTCTTCTTTGATGACTTGTAATGGGTTAAGAGTGTACCCTTGTACTCTAAAAAATTATACAAAAAGCCTTAATATTCTAATACTCTATGCAAACCAAATAAATACCCCACTTTCTCATTTCTTAATAAAATCTACATTATCTTTTAGTGAAATATCCAATTTTGTAAGGCACATGCTCTCCTTCCAATTCCATCTTCGTGGAGCCATAATGGACCCCCAATCCTTACCCAACTTCCTCTCTTAAAACCATCCCTTTCTTCTTTTTATTCATTCTCCTTTCATTTCTCACTCCTTTTCACTTTCTCTCTAAACTCTCACACACATTCCCAAAAATACTCCATTTCCCTAACAATTCCATGGATACAAAACAAAACCCACACACTATAACAAAGTGCAACTCACCCGAATTCGAATTCTGGATGCTCCGAAACCCATCTTTCCCACAACCAAATCTTCTCACCGCCGACGAACTTTTCGTCGACGGTGTACTCCTTCCCCTCCACCTTATCCCTGCCACAAATAACCCCGACCCACCTCAACAATCACCAAGCCCGGATCCACTAGTTAAAGAGCCGGATCCAGAACCCGGTTCTCAACCCGAATCTTCACCTGCTATAACTGAATCCTCAACCACCACCACTTTCTCTTCTTCAAAACGGTGGAAAGATATTTTCCGAAAAGGTGAGAAAAAAAACATCACAGAAGAGAAAGAGAAAGAGAAAGAGAACAAGAAGAAGAAGAAAGAGAGAAAAAACGGAAACGGTTCCACTTCTGCAGAGTTGAACATCAACATATGGCCATTTTCACGAAGTAGGTCCGCGGGTAACACCGGCACCCGACCCAAATTATTTCCTCCAGTTACCCGGAAAGTCAACAGCGCGCCGTGTTCTCGTAGCAACTCAACCGGAGAGTCAAAATCTAGAAAATGGCCGAACAGTCCGGGTCGTGCCGGAGTCCACGTCGGTCGGAGCAGTCCAGTATGGCAGGTTCGTCGCGGTATCTCCAAAAACTCAGAGCAACAACCTCTCAACACAGAGAAAGAGAAAGCTTCAAAAACTGAATCCGCCGCAACTCGCCGGAGCAAGGTGGTTTCTAGCGGCGGAGGTAAAACTAGGGTTTTGAATTTGAATGTTCCGATGTGTATTGGCTACAGACATCACTTGAGCTGTAGAAGTGACGAGAACGGTGCCGTCGGTGTGAGCAGTGGCGCCGTCGCGAACGGCGGTGGTGAGTGTCATCACGATGAAGGAAGTGGCGGTAACATTTTTAATCTACGCAACCTTTTTACCAAAAAAAGCATAGTAACTTCTCACTAGTTTTACTTTTTTTTTTAACCATGCTACAAGTTATTAATATTATGTAATTATTCACTACCACTTTTTCTATTTTCTTTTTTGGTTCCCTTAAACTAACCTTTTTGGGATTTTTTTTTGTTTATTTTCTTATACAGAATCTTTTTATTTATCATATCTTGGATGTATTCTCTGGTCTCATATTAAGTGTAATTTTAGAATATTAAGATAGTATTAATAGATTTTTAAGTTAGTATTACTAATACTTGAGTGTGGATTCTTGAAGTTGAATTCAAACCTCTACTCCCAATTCCCATTTATTTGTGTAAGTGTTGATATTTATGTCTATAAGAAAAATATTATTTATATTTTTTTATAAGCAAAGCAAAATTAAGATTTCTCATTTATAATCAAAAGTTCAGTATAAAGAAAAATAAAATAAATAACACTATGTCAAGTTGAAGAATAAAACTTGGAAATTTCTTATAGAATATTATTTATAGTTTTAAAAACACATCATGTAGTGTATTTTAATCCGTCTACTATTATATTATAATAATTAGAATTTTGTTAAAACTAATAAAAATATATTTGTATAAAGGAAAAATCATAACTTGCGATCTTTTAAAAAAATTAAATTGTAAATATCGTCTTGTAAATTGTATCTTAAATTTAAAAGTATTTAAATGTAGTTTTATTCAATAGAAAAAGTATTATTCTTAAAAGAATTGTTCAACAGCACGAGTGACTATTGTATGAAGATCACCGATTCTAATCAAAGAAGAGGTGTGTTCATATAAAGCGTCACGTGACACGATTATATATTAATGAAGTTGGAGTGACTCTATGGGAAAAAATTGAACTTATAGGAATTGAGACAATCTTTGTGAGCTTTTGGTCTATTCGGAATAACTTTTTTGAAATTCTTTTTATCAGATTTAAAGTTGTTGAAATAATATAGTAGGTATGAGTAAGTAGAAAAATAGTCTCACATTGAATATGAATGTTGAGACTTAAGCATATATAAGTGAATGAATCCACTAACCTATCAAATTAAGATTTTAGGTTGATAAGTGGTGTGCCTTTCACAAAGGTGCTTATTCCTATACTATGTATCAATGCTCTTAGTATCTCCCCCCAACATGGTATCAGAGCTTTCGATTATTGTTTTTAATCAAATTTTCAAGAATTTCACGTCAGAGATTGTTTTTCTAGGGCAAGTGGGCAAGTGAATCAACCGCTGCGAAGATGACTAGTGATAAAAAGGACGGTGGTCGAATCCCCATAAGAATAAGGTCGAAGATAAATCTTTTGAATCCTCGAAAAAGGGAGGAGGAAACTATCAAAAGGACAAAGAAGATGAGAAAGGTATGCAGTGTTATAACTGTGAAAAGTGGGGACACTTGGCCAAGAATTGTTGGTACAGAAAAGACAAGGGATCGAAAGGTAAGGACGAAGGAACGAACCTTGCACGCCAAGATTCAGATGATTTTGAAGGTGGTATGGTGGTTATGGTTGCAGTTGCAGATAACCATGTCGAATCCAAAATCTGGTTTCTCGATTCAGACTGCTCGAACCATATGATTGGTCGAAAGGAGTGGTTGGCAGATTTTGACTAATCTAAGAAGATCAAGGTAAAACTTGCTGATAATAGTTTGTTGCAAGCAGAAGGTACTGACAACATAGTCTTTCAAATGAGTAATGGAGGGAAAGTTATGATCAAAGATGTGCTCTATGTACCTGGAATGAAATGCAACTTGCTAAGTGTTGGACAACTAGTCGAAAAAGGTTTCTCAGTTGTCATGAAAGATGGAGTTTTGAAATTGTTCGACACCAAGAACAATTTGGTCTTAAAATCTCCATTGTCGAAGAATATGACATTTAAGACTATGATCAGTTCGACCGAAGTTCAATGTTTGAAAACTGTTGTCGACCACAAGGATAATTGATTGTGGGATTTGAGATTTGGACATTTGAACTTTCGATCACTTAATCAACTGATTACTCAAGATATGGTTACTGGTATTCCAAGCCTTGAGATGCCTGAAAAACTTTGTGAAGGTTGTTTAGTGGGAAAATAATTCAGAAATTCTTTCGTTTCGACTATGTCAATGAGATCACCCTGCATTCTCGAAGTGGTGCGTTCAGATGTATGTGGTCCATTCGAAGAACATATAATTGGTATCATGAGCCTTTGGTTCGAGAAAGGGACCGAAAAAGAGTTGTATCAAAATGCACCCATGAAGTGGTGTTCTGTTGCAAGATGTCAATGACGGTACAAGTGAAGGAGCATTGTGGACTCACACTTGAGGGGGAGTGTTGGAATATATCAATTGTGAGTAAGTGGGGGAAATAGTCTCACATTGGATAGGAATATGGAGACTAGCATATATAAGTGGGAGAACCCACTCACCTATCACTTTAAGGTTTTTGATGGATAAGTGGTGTGTCTCTCACAAATGTACTTATTCCTACACTATGTATCAATGCTCCTAGTATCTCTCTCCAATAAAAGTTAAGACTGTCGATGTGCAAATAAATAAGGTCGACTCATGAATCTCTAGTGTGGCGACCTCGTTAATGAAGAGGGACTTCTTAGTTATTGAGTGAGAGCAATTACATGGAAAAGTCTCCACACGTCTTAGAATGTGAGATGACACGCGTAAGAGCATTCAAGTGCAATTAATATCTGAGGCATCAAAAATACTTTCTCCGTATTAATTTATAAATAAATTTTGTTTTTTAATTCATTGAATAATTAATATATTTGATCTATATATAGATCAAATACATTACTTTTTCAATGAATTTAAAAAATAAAATTTATTTATAAATTATTATAGAGAAAATTATAAACTTATGTATAATGAGTCGGTCTTTAATTAGCCGAGACATCAAGAGGATTAGGCTTGTGTATAATGAGTTTGCCTTTGTGAGTCTTGGATTAGCCTCAAAACAAAAAGTAAAATATTTTTTCTTTATATTTTTTCTAAATCATTGTAAAATAAAAATGCATCATGATTAATCCACAATAATGAGAGTATTTATTATCCAACTGTTGAAATAAATTTGCATTCGATGCAATAGTTATATTACATGTGCATTATAAACTAATCCACGTGGAGTAGTATATCTTTATGATTTTCGGTTGGGATTTAGGAGTTGAAATTGAAACTTGATAAAGATTTTATTTAATGGAAATTGTCCTAGCTGGTTGTTGGAATGGCAGTTACACTTTATCAGAAGGTAAACTTTTTGAGATGTGGGTTAGGGACAGAGGCTTTTCTTTTGGGAATTGGGAGTAAAAAGTAAAAGAGGTGTTTGTTTGTCAAAATGCCTCCTCGGACAATGCTCTTCCTATTCAATGTTTGTAACCTTTAATTGGATTACAAGGAAAGGAAACTTGCACCTGTTTTTTTTCCTTTAGAAAAGATATTTTAATGCTAACTCTGATCATACTTGTGAAAGCTTTTATTAAATGACACAATAGTTGTTGATTTCTGAAAGAAATGAATGCTCTTTTCATAGGGTATTTAAGCTTTTGTGCAGCTTAAATTTGGATTGACGGTAAGCATAATTAATTTTAGTAAAATTCAATTTGGTAAAATTGATTTTAGGAAAATTGAGTTTAGCATAATTAATTTATATTTGGATACATTAAAATTCCAGTATAAAAATCATTCAAAATTAATTCCGGATACAGAAGTTACAAATTCTAATTTTAAGTAAAATCAATTATAGAAACAAAATCAACTCTATTTTTATCTAATCAAACATCTCAAAATCATTCGGGATTAATCCCACACATCTAAAATTACTTTTGACTTTTCTAAAAACGAAAACAAACATGCATAGAGTGTACTAACATTTGATGTGATTTGAGCAAACTAACCTATAAACCATTGTCATGTTGAACAACCAAGTTAAAACTCAAATTTAAATAATCAAACTCCTCATAAGTCTTTTTTTAAGATTAAAATTTGAAAGTTATTCCCTCCACTTCATATATTTATAGATGAGTGTTTTCATATTTCTTTTTTCATTTCAATAACAAATTTCCTTAATTCGAATTTAATCTCTTTTTTTAATTATAAAAGAAAAGACAATTCAAGAAATATAAAAAATATATTTTATAGTCATCAGAAATAACAAAATTAAAAAAAAAAAAGAGGAGTGATAAATTCTATCAAATCAAATTCATCATCATAGCCACCAAAATGAAAGATTAATTTTCCAATAAATATGTTTGATTTCACATTTTCAATTTATTCAATCCATATAGAATAATATTTGAAGAAGGAGAGGAAACAAATGAAGAAGAGAAGATCATATTATGTTGAAAGTAATTTCTTGTGTTGAAACAGTTTGTTCGATAAAGATAAAAAAATGTCGAAAAGATTTGATTTAGTGTGGAAACAGTTTGTTATACACATATTTGTTTTAGATCTAGATAGATTAAATTTAGGTCTAAAATAGAATAGATTTGATTTAGTTCTAAAATATGTATTTTGGGCTTTTTATAGTTTTGGACTTTTGGCTTGGAGAGCAAGCTAACCTAAATCTATAAATAGAGGGAGTAACCCCTATTTTTTGTAATCAAGTCAATCAAATTGTATTCACAGAATTTTGTAGTTGCAAAGTGAATAATAAAGTTTTCCACAGTTTGTGGGCAAAGAGAAATTCTACAGAAAAATTATTGTCTTCTTTCTTCCTTTTTTTTCATATTTTTCATTGTCATTGTATGGTGATATCAATCTTGTTCATCAAGATTGATAAAAATTCATCATATGTTTTGGTGGATTTCCAACATCTGGTATCAAGAGCTCCGGTTGAGTGATTCAAGGGAAGAACAATCAAGAACGATCAAGGAAGAAGAAGAAGAAATTCACGATGGTGGTGAATTATGCTAACGGAAATTTTCCAGTAAGTCTCCCAATTCTTAAAGGAGATAACTATGAGAATTGGTGCAAACAGATGAAGGTTATATTTTGTTTTCAAGGTCTTTGGGATCTTGTAAAATATAG